GAGTCCCTAGATGGTGAAAGTTAACAAGCTTGGCTGCTAACCAAAAGGTTGGATGGAGATTTGAGTTCACCCAGAGGTATCTTGAAAGAAAGGCCTAGCGATTTATTTCCAAAAACATCAGACACCGAAAGCCCTATTCTGATATGGGGTTGTCATGAGTCAGAACTGACTCAAAGTAACTACTTTGGTTATTACTTTAATATCAAAATCAAACAAAGACATTACAAGAAAACTACAGACTAACAGTCCTTATGAATAAAGATGCAAAAATCCAGAACAAAATATGAGCATACTAAATCCATGACCAAGAGGGATTTCTCCAGGAATAAGTAGTAATTTACTAGTGAGATTTTTTTGAAAGACAGAGGCAAACTTCCTGTGGTACTTAAAGTGTTGCAGGGCATAGGAAAACTTATTTTTTTAAAGAACACCGGTTCTTCACAAGTTTCCAAAAAGTCCTAATATTGATGCCAAATTTGGCAAAATTTAAAACCAGCATTACTTTTAAATAAATAAAATACCTGCAAATAAAATCCAGTAGTTCCTTAAGAAAAACATTGTAACTAAATAGTCTTTATTTTAGGAATATAAGCAATGATTAGGATTAAGAATATAAAGTATATTAAAGGGCAAACCAGATTAAGAATTATGCAGCAAAGATATTTTGGAGATGACAGCCGGAAAGTAAAGGAGTTCAGTTTGTGTTCTCTTCTTCCACTGGGAAATGTGACAAATGGAAACCTACTGATGTAGGACACTAGATGAGGACTAGAGGACCGGAGTGAACAATGGAGGAAAAAGCTAAAGGAGGAAATGTACAAAATAGTATTTCCAAGCACTGTTAATGACATAGTTGAAAGCTGAAGACAATGAATTTCTAGGGACACTGACCCCTACTGGTGTGGCACTGTAGGTTAAGTACTGGACTGATAACTGTAAGGTTAGCCGCTTCTTGGAAACCCTACACAGGGTCACAGACAGCACTTAACAACAACTCATACTGAGTTAGTATTCCCCAACACAGCCCAGAAATTTAGGGTTAAGAGTCACAAGGAGAGGTGCTTGAAATGTCCCACAATGAACTCACTGTACAAGAACAAGATGACGGAGCTAAATCATTCCCTTCTCTGGACTCTAAAGAATTGGACGGACTGCAAAACGGCCAATTTTACTTTGGCTTTAAATCATTCCATGGCTTAGTTCAGTCTTACTGACAGGATTACAAATGTATCCACTGCCTTATGTGACAGTAAATCAAAAATTATCTAGCTGTGGTAGTGTAGTGGTTACGAATCGGGCTGCGAACCTTAAGGCCAGCAGTTTGAAACTACCAGCCACTCCGCGGGAGAAAGATGAGGCGTTCTGCTCCCGTAAAGATTTACAGCCTCGGAAACCCTGTACAGGGTCACTATGGGTCGGAACCGACTCAATGGCACTTAACAACAACTGCAGAATTTATTTTAATCAACTTTTAGAAAAGACAAATACATCATTTTTCGACATAATCTCCTTGCTTTTCAATATACTTTGTCCATTTGTCAACAAGCCTTCATATTCCCTTAAGTAAAAAATGTTGTAGGCTGAGCTGCGAACCATGAACGCACCAGTGTTCACTTCTTCGTCAGAGGTGAATCTTCATCCTCCAAGAGCTGCTTGCAAGAGGACCAAACAGGAGCAAGATAAGGACTACAGGGAGGATGCTTAAACACCTCAAAATGAAGTTTTTGCAGCATGTCACCTGTGTGAACAGAGGTGTGTGGACGTGCATTGTCATGCAAGATAACAATGCCTTTGGATAGCATTTAATCTGAAGTTTAGGCTTCAGAAGCTCTTCAGTGAGCATCTCACTGTAACAAGCACTGCTGATTGCTGAACTTTTTCCTGGTAGTATTCTAATATTGGCCCTTGAGAATCCCAGAAAACTATAAGCATCCATTTTGTAGCAGAGGTTGACTTTTTAACTTGTTCCTGGTCAGCGATTGAGGATGTTGCCATTCCATACTCTGCCATTTACTCTCAGGCTCATAGTGATGAATGCAAGTCTTATCACCAGTACTGTTTTTTTTTTAAAGAAACTTTTACCTTCCTTCAGGTATCGATCCAAATTTTGTTTGCAGATGTCCAAGGACTTCTTTTCATGCTCTTCCAAGAGTTGTTTCAGTACCAGTCTCACACAACTTTTTTGAAACCCAAGTCTTTCGTGGATTATTTCATAGGCAGAGCTATGCCTGATTTGCAAATGATTTGCCACACAATCCACTGTCACTCATCTTATCGACAGATAATTTCTTGTGCATGCTCAAGCGTTTTAAGATAACTGGAGTGCGGATAATTTTTGACTCACCCTTGTACATCACCACTATTGGTACTTGTTGTTAGGGGCCACTGAATGAATTTCAACTGAAAGTGCTCCAGTGTGTCACGGCAGAAACTGCCCCAAACAGATGTTCTATGCTGTAATCTTTACAGAAGCAGATACCTAGCTAGGTCTTTCTCCCAAAGAGCTGGATGAATGTATTTGAACCACCAATTTTTTTGGTTAGCAGCCAAGAACTTAACCATTGTGGCACCAGGGCTCTTCAAACCAACACAATAACACCCTTATTTTCAAATACAGAAAAATAAAACAACTTTTTTTTACATTTTATATTCAGCCTATTCAACATTATATTAAATGACAGTAAACTAAAAGAAATGCTTCCATTATTTGGTCTCATCCTTTAAATATTCTGTTGTTGCACTGTTGTTAAGTGCTATTGAGTCAATTCCAACTCACAGAGACCCTATATAGGCTTTCCAAGGCTGTAAATCTTTGTGGGAGCAAAAAGTCTAATCTTTCCCAGCAGAGCAGCTGCTGGACTCAATCCACCCATCTTGTGGCTCGTAGTCCATTATTTATCCTAGAGTCATTCATTGTACATCAAATGCTATAAAACAAACATTTCCAAAAAAGTCATAGTTTATCAGTTTCTAGCAATAAATATAATATTTTCTCCTTTAAATACTTTCCAACAATATGTCAATATACTACAAAACTGATCTTTTTGAAACTCATATTTTTATTAAACACCCTCTTGTTTAAAACATCTCCAGTGATTTTCTAAAGCTCCCAGAATAAAACCCCGGAATTCTTGATGGCATACAAAGGTTGCCATCTGTGCTCAAATCACCCTGGCCCTTGGATCCTTGAAAATGCCATGCTCTCTAACCAAACAATATCATTCCATGTTTTTCCCTCAAGTGGTATGCTCTTTCCCTTTCCTTTGCACCTCAATTGTGTTATTCGGGCTTCAGTTTCCTTAGGGATGCTTTCCTCAGCTTCACTGATAAAGTCAGGTTCCCTTATATGCTTCCATAGAATGTTAGTATATTTTACTTTGATTAATGTGACTATCTGAATTTCACCTGCTTAATTCTCCCACGGAACAACTGGTAGTTCCACAGAAAAAAGATGAAGCTCTCTGCTCCCGTAAAGATTTACAGCCTCGGAAACCCTGTATAGGATCGCTATGAGTAGGAACCAACTCCACGGCACATAACAACAACAACAATTGCTCTAGACTGTGAACACTGTGACAACAGGGACCAAAAGCATTTAGCTTAACTAAGGTTTCCTCAGCATCCAGCACAATGTGGCGCATGTGCCGAATGGTCAATAAATACATGCTCAGTCAATCAACTACCTATTGGGATATTCACCAGATAAGCAACTAGACAACAAACTGTCTATATTTTCGTATATAACACACCCATGTAAATACAGTCCATAATACACACATATAACAGACATAAACATGTAACACGCAAGGGTTTTGACCAGTTTCTGAAAACCATAATACGCACATATTATTTGTGTAAAATACATATAGCATCACTGTCCAAGAGAACTTTCGGTGAAGATGGAAGTCTTCTACATTTGCACTGCCCAATACGTTAGCCACAGTACCAACAACAGCTACTGAGCGCATGAAGAGTGGTTCAACATGGAGGAACTAACTTGTTTGTTGTATTTCATTTTAATGAACGAAAATGTAAATTTAAATAGACATCCATGGCTAGAGGCTACCTTACTGAATAGTACAGGAATATAGTCTATTCTCGTTACTTCCATTGTTTCACTTTATCAGAACTATTTACACCTTGTCTCAAGAAACAGCTCTAGTCAAGAACCTTAGGATTCTTTTTGTCCTCACAATGTACCTTGCAAAGTAGAAACTTTAATGTCTGATGATTGGACACAGAAATTCTGTAACAAGCTTTTTTGTTTTCTCTCTCTCTCTCTCCTAAAATTAAATTAAACGGAAAGCTATTTCCAAAATGATCTTCACAGTCTAGCTATAAAGAGTAGTTCTTTCTCCATCATGCATTACCTAGTGCGTTCTTGTTTGCTTGAATATTTGTGAAACATAAACCTCATGCATTCTAAATCCCTCTCACCAGCTGGGGACACCTTTATTGCTACTAACGAGAGTACAGCCTAATCAGCAGGGAGCCTCTGGTGACTAACTGATGAGGCAGTGTACGTAATTCGCCCAACTCCCTCAACATGAGTCCTGGGTTGCAGTCAAAGTAGTCTCCCAACAAGATATTCCCAGGGCAACCACTCTTTCCACACCCACACCGCGCTTTTTCCCTCCTTCAGGGTACAAGTCCCACCTCCTCCCCAAAGTGTCTCTAACTACACACTCAGGGAATATGGGTTCCACTGAACACCTGGTGTTGTTTAAAAGCTCCAGGACCCACCCAAGGAGAAAAACAATGTCTTTGCCAGAGGGGGGTGCAAGGAGGTACTATTATTGCCCCTCTTAGCATTTACAGTTTTAAATTTTGTAAAGCGCGCGTATTTGTCAGGCACTGTGACAGGCAGCGAAGACCAGACCCGTCCCGCCTCCCGGAGATGCAGGAGGCAGCAGTGCCGGCAGATCGCAGGGCAAGGCGCTCGAGGCGACCTCCAGCCCGACCCCGACGGCGGCCCCACACCTCTCCCCCGCCCTGCTCACCTTCCCTGCGCTGGCCCGTTCGCCCTCCGTGTACTGATGCCACGGGAGCGAGGCCCGGGCCGGGGGTGCCTGCAGCCAGGCCTTGGCCTCTTCGTCCTCCTCCTCTCCATCCGTGCTCTCCTGATGCTGAAACTCGTAATTACAGTCGGCCTCCAATTCAGGCTCTTCCTCCCCCTCCACCTCCTCCACCATCACGACCTCGTCCTCCGGCTCCTCCTCCTCTAGCTCGCTGGGCCATGGCAAGTCCTCGGGCTCCATGTTGGTGTCTCGTTCCAAGCGGCAGAGGAGGAGGAGATGAGGGGAGGGGGGAAGGAGGGGAGGGGAACAGAGATTACTGGCGGTTGTGGGCGCGCGCAGGCGCAATTGTTGCCGCCGCCTAGCGCCCAGGCCGCGCCGCCCAAACAGGGCGGGGCGGAGAGTGAGCGCGCTTGTTGCTAAGGACGCCGCGCGAAGGCTTGCTGAGGGATCCAAGGTAGGGGGTTCGCGACTGGCGACGTCACCGGCACGTGTCCGTCACCCAAGGTAAGCTCATAATAAACCTGGAACCGGGCTCCTCCCTGAAGAAAGCCCACATGGTGGGAATAAGCTCTTTGGCGGTGTTAATCAAAATGTAATTTTGCCTCTGCACCGAGGGGAGATGATAATCAAACTTACAAATTATACATTTTTAAAGGTTGCATGCCTATTGCGTGACAGGCTGTATGATAGGCGCTTGAACCTATCAGTGGGGTTAAGATTGGACGTTCGCATCAGAAAAACCCAAGTTTGAATCCTGGCATCTTCATTTACCTGCGGTGTGACTGTGAGCCTCCAATGTTGTGTTTAAATGCCATCTAGTCGGTTCCGACTCACAGCAACCCTGTATAGGGTTTCCGACGAGTGGCTAGTGAGTTTGAACCACCGACCTTGACGTTCAAACTGACCTTGGTCCAATGCTTATTCTACAGCACCACACCTGGACTCCAGCGAGCCTCTCTAAGATGAGAAAATAGGCCTGGTGTGATAATGAATAGAGTCCTGGTGTGGTGCTGTAGGATAGGCACCGGACTGCTAACTGCAAGGTTGCGGTTCAGATCTACCAGCCACTCCTTGGAAACCCCATACAGGTTAGCTATTAGCTGGAGTCGACTCAACATCTCTTAACAACAACAAATCAATATGAATGCTTTACTAATAGATATTATTGGTGGTGGTGGTGGTTTTGTGCCGTGGAGTCGGTTCTGATTCCCAGCAACCCATTTTCCAAAGCTGTAAATCTTTACAGGAGCAGATAGCCTCATATTTCTCCTGCAGAACTGCTGGCAGTTTCTAACTGCTGAATTTGAGGTTAACAGATTATTAGTTAATTATTATACAATAGTTCATTAAATACTTATAGTTCTGAGACAAATATTATGTTTCATATTGAATAATATGAGGCTCAGAAAAATAATTCGCCCAAAGTCGCTAATAGAATAAGTGATTGAGTTAATCAGTATACAATCCCAGGTTTTCTATAAGTAAACTAAAATTGCCCTGGTACAGGATAAAAGAACAAATGTAACTGAGTGCCAGAGTAGAACTGTGTTCCATAGCATTTTCATGACTGACTTTTGGGAAACATAACTAACTAGGCCTTTCTTGCAAGGTTGCCTCTAGGTAGGTTCAAACCACCCCTTTCTGTTGCACTACCGAGGGACTCCTAAAGGAGATGATCAATGTGAAGGATTTACTAGTAAATTTAATAATCAAGAACAACAAAAAAAAACTATCATTAAGACGATTCCGACACAGAGTGACCCTAGATAGGGTTTCTGAGACTAAATCTGTATGGGAGCACACAACCTCATCTTTGTCTGGAGCAGCAGCTGATGAGTTACAGAAACACCCAGGTAGCTCAGTAAATTTAATAGCAGAGGTAAATTAACAATAGTATTGAACAACAGTGGTGGGTAACTGTTTAGTTGAGGCAGAATTGACTCAAGGGTAGCTGGGTTTTGTGTGTGTTTGTTTTGTCGTGGATGACTGTCCTGCCTGCCCATGACAACCACAGTATAAAGTGAGGATATGGACTGAAACTGAAAGCTTTGGGGTTCCTTTGAATACCTCTAAATGAACTGAGTACATTCAGGTTATTGGTTTTTTCTTAGGGTGGGTTAAGGCTTTTCCTTGCTAGAGAGAAAAAAGGTTGCTGGATTTTGTATTGCTGATTTGGAATTATCCAGAGTGCAATACAAGGGCACTCATTTCACTGGTACAGTTATTAAATAACACTATAAACTTTTGCTTTTTACTTAGATACTCCACTATCCGTATCTACAAAGGTTAGGAAAAAATAAAGAGATCATGGAATTCTAAAACTATCCCATCAACCCATTACCATGGAGTTTATTCCAATTCATAATGACCCTGTAGAACAGAAAAGAATGGCCCTATAAGGTTTCCAACACCCGACTCTTGACAGAAATAGACTGCGACATCTTTCTCCTGTGGAGCAGCTGGTAGATTTGGATCTTTGAACAGCCAGGCTCTTACCAAAAACCTTTGATCTTCCAAGGCCCAAAGTACTTCCATTTGTGTTGATGGCAATATGATCAATCCATTCTAATCCCTACAAATTATCTCCTTCTGAGTTAATAACAAGCTGCCTCGTACATCTAGGAATTAATTCTAATACTAAATTCTACTTTATTACATACTGATATAACTAATTGCTGCAAGGGATTCACATAAGTCAACAGGTAGAAGCTGCATTTCCAAAGCATTTATCTTAGCAACCTTTGTATGATTTGAAATCTGGGTATTAAGATTTTTAGGAATTCTTCAGGAACTGCTGTCTTCCACATATGACAACATAACAAAATTGACTTTCTGATTCTTCAGCATTCTTTTTTTTTTTTTTTTTTTTTTTATTGTGAGTTGAGTGAAGATTTACAGACAAGGTCATCAGCTTTACATTCAACGCATTATACGCTTTGTTTCATCCCAATGATTATAATCCTCTCCCTCCACAACAGATATCCCTACTTCCTCCCTGTGGCTCCCCATTTACATCTTATAGTTCACAAATAAACAAAGCAAAAATATTGGATATACGCATAGAAAACAAAAATTATCTATTCATTTAAATGTCCAAAGGGCACATTCTGTAAACTAGTCTCCTGCCCAAAGGCACGTAGCCTTTCTCAAGTCTATGGGCTTAGAGCTGGCAATTGCTCTGTCACTCCATGTCACCACCTCTGCCACCGCCTCTGCTGTCACTGTCTTCAGCACTCTTTAACCTACCATTAATCTGCTCAAGCTGTTAATCTCACGATCAGTAGTTCAAAACTACCAGCGATTCCGTGGGAGAAAGATGAGGATTTATGCTCCCATAAAGGTTTACAGCCCTTGGAAACCCTATACAGGGTCGCTATTAACTCCACAGCACGTTTAACCACCACCAATCTGCTGCAAAAGACTTCATTAAAATGTTAAAAATAAATAAATGATGTCACTTTAAGGACTAAGGTGCTCCTACCCAAGCCATGGTCAATCACTTCATATGCATATGAAATTTGGACAATTAATAAGGAAAACTGAAGAAGAATTCACTAGCCACACCTCAGAAACCCTCTACAGCGTTGCTATGAGTCAGAACCAACTCAACAGCACTTCACAACAGCAACATAAGAAATATTGCCTATTACTGTATTATGACACCCTCTATAAACTAGCAAAATGATATATGATCTCTCTGATCTTCATCTATTCCCTTTGATCCCTTGTGGTGGTCTTCTGCCACTTAAGAAAACCAACACTCTCTGGTGTGGCTTTTTCAAACCATAGGCACTGCGCTTATTTTAACCGGTTGTTGACTAAACTAAATAACTATGCTTGTAAACACTTCACAAAGTAGATTCCCTTCTACAGGTCCCTTCTGGTTATTTAAAATTCCCACACATACGTCATCTCCAACTGCAATCTTATCAAAGAAATTGGGTTTTGACCCACCCACCCACGCCCACCTCCACAAAATGTTTCTCTCAGGCCATTAAAACCCTATCAGAAAAGGCTAACTCTTCAGGAATGGAAATTAATATTCGAGCTATCCTTGTTGCAATAGTCTGTTCTCTTTAGAGATACTCCAATCTGCTTTGCAGAAAGGATTTCACTTCATTCAAGGAATGTACCCATCTTCAGGGACAAAATATTGGCGCACTCCTGATATGCTAAATGTATACTCCCAATATAACCCATACTGACTTGACAGCATTTAGCAACAGCAACCACACATAACTGGTGCTCCTTATTGAATCTAGTTGTTAGCGACTCAAGGTTGTGTAAAAGTATGCCTCCATGGCAAGGACTCTGGACTCAGGGAGGGAGAAGGGGCTGTGTGCTCACAGCCGGGGTCAGGCTTGTGGGGTGTATCCTTTGGTGGTTTGAATGGTTATATATTCCTGAGTACTTCGGTGTACATCCAAAAAATGGAATGGAAGCAAATGCTGTTGAATGATGATGCATGGAGGGGGTTGTAATCATTGCAGTGAAATGAAATACCCTAAAATGAATGTAAAATTGATGTTCTCCCATGTAAACTATCACTCAATTCACAATAAAAACTTTTTTCAAAAGTATGCCTCCATTGGATCCCTGAGAAGGCTATCCAAAAACCAACAAAAACTGACTACTTGAGAGAACTCCTAAGATGGATAATTGATTGTCACTTCATGTGTACTCTATAAATAAAATTAGCCTCAAGGATAAGGCAATTCTAAAAGGGTGGACCAAAATTTGTCTCTGACCTAAACAGACAACACAAATGACACAATTTCAACAAGTCAAAGTTTTCATGAAAACTCACTGAGCCCTTTATTCCCTCTACCAAGTTAAAAGGGAAGGAGCTCTAGTAGTGTTGTTGACTGTTAACCACAAGGTCAGCATTTTGAACCTACTGGTTACTCCATGGGAGAGAGGCGAAGCTTTCTGCTTCTGTAATTATTTATAGCCTTGGTCCCAAAGACTCAGCCAAAAAAAATTATTGGAACTCATTGGAATATTCAGCAAAGTGGCAGGGTACAAGGTCAATATACCTGAACTCCCAAACTTGCACCTAGTACCCATTTGACCTAGCTTGGATGGCTCAGCTGACCAGAACTTGATGAGATGAAGATAAAGATGCTTAATACTGTGAACAAGTGTAAATTGCTACAATTTGATGAATGGGACCTTTGCTTATAGATGTAGTTGATTAAAATTCCAACTGAAATGGAAGGATTCGTCATATTAAGGATCAAGCTTGTTTTCTCAGTGCACTGGGTTGATAAGGATGGGCAATTTAGACATGAGCTATCAAACATGGGGGCTATAAAGGCACCAAATGGCTGCTTACAAGCTTTCATGAGTGTGCTTACTTTCAGAACGAGGGGTGTAGGGTAGACTATCCACTGAATAGTTTGCCTCTTTTCCAGATGGATCTGGTGAAAGGCGATGATGCTAACAGGATTTTATGATTCAATTGTAATTGTTAGCATGATTAATTGTAATTGTCACAACTGTAATTGTATAAGATGTGTAACTAAAAGGGGGGCATAGTTTCTCTTTCACTGCAGGAACAGAGGACCATCAAGAAGGAAGAATATGGTGGAACGTGAGATCTTATCTAGAACGGCAGCGGCAGCAGAGATGGTGGCAGAGGCAATGGCATGGGAAATACAGCAACTGTGGAATCTAGGCCCATGGGCTGAGAAAGGCTGTGTGCCTGTGGGCAGGAGGCTGAATGGCAAAATGTGCCCTTTGGACATTTAAATTAAAATATATTTTTTGGTTTGCATGTGTATATCAAATAGTTTTGTTTTGCTTGTTTATGAAA